TCTTTGTGAAGGAACAACGAAGTGTTACTCATTCAGTGACTTAAGCTGGTGAGAGGGAGCATGCATTTGTAGGAGTCAATTGACCTATCGGTAAGCTGCTCCCCTCAAATGCAGATGAGCCAATGGCAGTCGAGTATCAGTTGCACGGGGAGTGAAACTTAGACATCTTTAGTTTTCAGCACCATAGAGAAACATTGGAAGATCCGAAGCTCGCATCGGTTTGATGGTGTTTATGCTACGAAAATGGAAAAACAATGTGCCTGTGGTACTTGTAACACTGATTCAAGGTATCCTGAGAGGATGGGCAATAGAATTTATTTTATTACATTTCCTAAATCCAAACAAAACAGAGCAAAATGTCCCTAAGCATTCAACCCCAATCCCAATGAAGACAAAAACATAAATTTTCTGGTTGTCACACTCTCATTAAGTTACAATTTTCATTTGCTCAAGCAGAACATTAATGTCATCTTGTGTTTCAGCAAGATATCTATTGCTAAAACCAGCTAACGTTAAAGTTAGTGAGTCAATGCTATTACAAACCTAAATAGCAAACTGTTCTCACATCATGTACATTGTAGGGCAAAAACACACAAACGAAGGTCTACATTTCAGTGCCTCTCCATATTAAACTACGGTGGCCGAGAAGTGCTAAACAAATCACAATTCTGAAAACAAAATAACAAATTACAAACGCAAATGCAAGTCTAAAAAACAAAATAACAATTCAGAAAGCACAACAACACTTCAGAAAACATTATCACAAGTCAGAAAACACAATGACAAATTCGAAAACAAAATAACAAGTCAGAAAACACAACGACAAATCCGAAAACAAATTAACAAATCAGAAAACACAACGAAAAATCTGACAAACCGGAAAAGGTTGTTATAGTTCGAGACAGCACCATTGGTTTGGGATTACTCACCGCTGACTGGACGAGACATCTGTCAGTCAACATATACAGGAAAAACCAGCCGAAGAACAGCAGAGTCCTGGTAGAAAGTTTGGAGATGGTATTAAAGTAGCTCAGTTTAAGTGTATTGTATGAATTGTCCTTACTATGGAATAAAAAATACGGAGTGTATATTTAGATTTAGTTAAAAGTGGCTGTAATTCATCAGCTCCAGTGGTGCAGATGGATAAGCGTGTGTCATTGGCTTTTTGATGCGATCGACCCGGGTTCGATCCTACCTTTTGTGTCAAGTGTCAAAACCTTGAATTTGATTTTGTAGTGAGAAAAGAAATGGTCTGACATGAGCTAGAGCTGTGTATCATCTGTATAGCAGTGGTGGAAGCCATGTGCATTTATGATTACTTCCAATGAGGTTGTGTAAATGGAGAAAGGAGAGGAGCGAGCACTGAACCTAAAGTAACCCCAGTTATTAGCTTATGTGACTCAAACACTCCTCCTCTTCATGAAACCTTGAAAGATCTGCCTGTGAGATAGGACTGAAGCCACCAACGTACTGTACCTGTGATGCCCAAGGCAAAGAGGGTGGACAGTAGAATCTGGTGGTTTACAGTGTCGAAGCAGCAGACAGGACCAGTACAATAAGGACAGACAAAGAGTTTCAGCAATGGTCAGTGTAGTAAAGTAGGTTGTTCTGTTGGAGAATAGCAGAGAGCTGATCAAACACAACTCTTTTTTTTACAGAAAAGGAACTGGTCTGTAGGATTGAGTTTTGTTTTGTGATCAGTGGGGTTCCTTGAGCCTGTATAAATGTGCTAGGACATTTTCCAGTAGTTAGGGATATGTTGATGTGAGTCAGCACGGGTAGCACTGTTGGCGAGATCTGCTGTAGTAGGTGGGAGTGGATCAGGTCTAAGGGACAGGATGTTGGACGGTTGGCACAGAGAACTTTGGAGACCTCATTTACCGTGAGGGGAGAGAAGGAAGAGAAGAGTGGAATGTGTGTAGGTTGGCTATGGATAAGTGGTGCAGAGAACTGGCTGCTGAAAGTTGCCACCTTATCAGTGAAAAAGCTGACAAGGTCATCAGCCGTCAGAGAAGAGGTGGGAGGTGGTGGAGGGGGACAGAGTAGAGGGGTAACACACAGACAAAACCAGGCGAACGTGTCTGCTGATGTTTGTCGGCGTCTGATGGTCCAATGTGAATTGGCCTCAAGGCTGTATCCTAATTCAAAATTAACTTAAGACTGGTCTACATAGACAGTGACTTTACTCTTGGCTTGCTGCGATAGATGGTGTTTTCGGTTATACTGGTGTTAAGCCGCAACACCGGTTATGTCATTTGCCTACCACGTCACCGCCCCCCACCGTCGTTTAGATTTTTTTATAGTAACACAAATAATTTAGCCTAGTTCAGTTAGAGGACAGACACTTTTAAAAACTAAACGCTCAATGCAGCGTGCCGAACAGTTCGCGAATGACAGTGCACCACGGAGCAGGAGTCAGATTTTATTTATCACGTGAGGAGAGTGAGTCGAGCTGACTGACAAGAGTGAGGTGAGAAAGACAAGACGATGGCAGAAGATTGTTTAGAAAGGAAATGCAAAGGCACCTGTTTGGCAATATTTTAAATTTGGAAAAGCCTATTGACTGGAAGTTTTTTAAACATTAATTTCTTATTTATTTGGTTCCACAGTGTTTGCTGATTACTTTATTTAAACTTTGTGTATTTTATTTTACATCAAGGTGTTTATGCCGTGCCTCTAAGCTTTCTTATTTGTTTTGCTAATAAATGTTCTATGTTTCTTATTTATTTGGTTCCACAGTGTTTGCTGATTACTTTATTTAAACTTTGTGTATTTTATTTTACATCAAGGTGTTTATGCCGTGCCTCTAAGCTTTCTTATTTGTTTTGCTAATAAATGTTCTATGTTTCTTATTTATTTGGTTCCACAGTGTTTGCTGATTACTTTATTTAAACTTTGTGTATTTTATTTTACATCAAGGTGTTTATGCCGTGCCTCTAAGCTTTCTTATTTGTTTTGCTAATAAATGTTCTATGTTTCTTATTTATTTGGTTCCACAGTGTTTGCTGATTTTCATTTTTATATACCTATTTAAACTTTGTGTAGCCTAAGTAATTTGTTATTTTATTAGGCATATATGGTGTATTTTTATTCGTTTTGTTAATAAAAGTTCTATGAGTTTGATGGAATTTAATTTAATTGAATCAACGCCGAATTGCCGCTAATTTGAAAGTGAAAGTAAAATGTGCACAGCGCATTTCAAGCTATTTGAAAGCCAGGAAATCCGAGGAAAAGAGAGAAAACTCAAACAAACAATTGCTTGACGACGAATTGCGGCAATTCAATTGCTGCTAATTTGAAAGTGAAAGTAAAATGTGCACGGCGCATTTCAAGCTATTTGAAAGCCAGGAAATCCGAGGAAAAGAGAGAAAACTCAAACTAACAATTGCTTGACGACGAATTGCGGCAATTCAATTGCTGCTAATTTGAAACTGAAAGTAGAATGTGCACGGCACTTTTACAAGCCATTTGAAAGCGAAGAAAAGATGGGAAACTCAAACGAACTAACACCCCCTCACCGGTGTTGTCACACGTCGATTAACCGGTGGGAAAATTTCCTCACCACTCAAACAAACAATTGCTTGACGACGAATTGCGGCAATTCAATTGCTGCTAATTTGAAACTGAAAGTAGAATGTGCACGGCACTTTTACAAGCCATTTGAAAGCGAAGAAAAGATGGGAAACTCAAACGAACTAACACCCCCTCACCCCACCCAATGAAGATACCGGTATTACCGGTGTTGTCACTCATCGATTAACTGGTGGGAAAATTTCCTCACCGTCACAGCCCTATTTGACTCACAAATATAGCTCCTCGTGTGAATTATGCAGTCATTTTTATCATATTGCACATTTTTTTTTATCAATGCATTTTAATATTGAATAAAATATTTTAATCAGTGGTTCTTTCTGACACTCTTGGATCGTCCTATCAGTAAAGGATGCATGTAATGCTGCCTTGACATTTTTAAGACTTACATTTGCTCTCTCTCACAAATATAGCTCCTCGTGTGAATTATGCAGTCATTTTTATCATATTGCACATTTTTTTTTATCAATACATTTTAATATTGAATAAAATATTTTAATCAGTGGTTCTTTCTGACACTCTTGGATCGTCCTATCAGTAAAGGATGCATGTAATGCTGCCTTGACATTTTTAAGACTTACATTTGCTCTCTGATATTTGGAAGGGTCCGTACCTATGATGCCTTAGCATTTTAGGAACCTCAGTATGAAATCAAAACCAATTTTTAAATGACACCTATAAGTGTATTCCTTTCTTATGAAACATTAAAAAACACAAAATCCAAAACTCACAAATCCCAAGTCAACAATATGAACCAAAGATGTCAATGGAATTGTTTGGAAAAAACAAATTCATGGAGTTCCTTACGATACAATAATGTCCCTAATGTCACTGCTCCTCTGATGCAAGTCTTTTTAAAGAGGAAGTAGCACACCAAACAGTATATTTATATTTATGCAGATGTTCTGGACAGAATAGGGATCGCATACAGTAGTCTTTCATCCTGTCCCTGCTGCAACCCACTTCTGGCTGGCCCTCTTCAAACCGGCTCCCTTTTTAAATGTTAATTCCTTTTTTTCCGCTTCTCTGAATCTCTGTAGCTCACTCTCTCAGCGCCACATCCAAGCAGCCAGTCATTCAAGCCTCCCACCCCCTTTCCGGCTCTCTTTCGTCCTCTCTCTTTCTCCGTCTCTTTCATACTTTGCTTCTAAACAGCCAGTCCTTGTGTAGCAGCCAAGTATGATAACCCCATACCTCGCCGTTGCAGACAGGGCTTCATGGATGTTGTAGTTGCACCGTAGGCCTTCTTGAAACATGACTGGAATGCTGACATCTAGAAATAAACTGCCAAGTGTTTGTTATCTCACAGAGGAGTGGGCTACATAACTGTCACCTTCAAATATTCTTTTGTGACTCCTTCAGTGTCTTTGCAGATTAAACCTAATGTGTCCGTTCGCTTCTTTCCTTAGGGTCAGCTCTCCAGACAGCGGCCTGCACTCAACCTCTGCTCCAGGTAGTACAGACCCCGCTGCTGAGGAGCCCGGCCGGAAGTTCTGGGATGAACTGGGCCAAATTGGCCTTCCTGATGACATTAACGTTGCGTCTTTATTCGACCCCACTGGTAGGTAAAGCTACTCTTATGTCACTGTTTGTGTCTTTCAGTGGCTGATGGTGTTTATTATTCTATTGCACCTCTAGGCCAGTGTTGCGCTCACCTGCGCTGTGCCGCCTGGTCGGAGGGTGTATGCCGCGGGGAGGGACAGTCGCTGCTGTATGTGGACAAAGCAATTGACTCAGGGAGCACAGAGGTGAGTGACACCCACACCAGTGTGTTTAAATGTCTTGTTGGTGAATTTGTTTGCGCTTTCAACTTTGAAATGGTTGTTCTGTCAACTTGTACGATTTTCAACCGACATGCCAGCACCCAGTCTGGCCCTATTCCATGTATTTCTACCAATGAGTAGGTAATTCTGTTTTGTAAACCTGCTGGTCTCCATCCAGTTACGTTGGAGGCAGAGGGCTGGGATAATTTCGTCACCAAATACACTTTTTAAAAAGAAAAAGCAACTCTAAAACGCAAAACAAAACTAGAGCTCTTCCATTACAATAAACCAATTGTATAGTGAAAATAGAAATGTATTTTGAGATTTAATGACATTTACCAGTTATCATTTAACACATAACTTTAGTTAGCAGTAGAGGACTCTAATGATAATGTTAGATGACATTGATGATCTAAATATATTTTAAAAAATAAGGGAAAAGAGCATGCACATCTAAACCTAGTATCAGCCAATTAAAAAATTATATATATATCAAATTATAACTGTTGTATTAATATATTGTGCATCCCTAAATTGTATTGTTTTTGTTTTTTTTTACTTGATATATTTAATTCAGTTTTTAGTTAAGCCTGCACAATTTGAGGAAAATAAATTCTGAATGTGTGATTTAAAAGAAATTCTTTAAATGTGTGATTGTGATAAAAAAAAAAAAGCTCAATGTTCCTGTGTTTGTTTTTAGGGCTGCAACAGTTTGGCCCTCCAATAAAGTAATTTCACATCAAAATTAAATGATAATAATAATAATAATAATAATAAGTTATAAGTAAATAAGTAAAGTAAAAAATAAAAAGATTGTTGGCACATGTTGCATTCCCAAATGCTCATTAAATGCGACCTTGCACATGCAAAAATGATTTTGTGTAGAGCAGCAATTTACTGCAATTTGCCGCTCACTCTTATTTACTTGATTTACATTTCAAGTAAATAATGCTTGCAGTATACTGTTTGTTTATGGGCGGGTTATAGAGTAACATAGTCAGTTACGCCATTGTTCCTCTCTGTGGTCTTGTGGGCTGAATTGGCAGAGCTTCACTGAGCCCTCACTCTAGCATCATTTTAGTGGCAAAATGCTATTAGTGGGGTTGAGTGGGCCCGTGTTTGCACCAATTTGTATTTTTTAATGTAGTTGCAAACTTGTGCTATACCTTTCCCTGAGAGTACTTTCTGTGGTGGAATGACAAATGCACTCACTGTTGATTAAGTATTCAGAGTTAATCATGAATGGGGTTATTATTGGCAGTGGAAGAGGTTGTGTCGGTCCCCTGGTCTTTAAAATATTTTCTAATTAGGAGCAGAGCAGTTCAGAACTGCCACAGCCGTCTCTCTTGTGCAACTCCACTAATTAACACAATGCAATGTGGCATACGCAAGGGCACACGGAACCCAGGCAGGGAAAGCACATTAGGTGTAATTAATTTTTATATTCTCTTCACCTGGGATCTGATTCTTGAGGAAAAACACATAGCATCTATCCAAATGTGTGGCTATGCTATGTAAAATACGGTTAGGATCTGTCAAAACTCCAACCATCCAATTAGAAACTTAAGCTTTTAGTGTAATTGTTGTCCATGTTTTCTGTGAAATCAGTATTATTTCAGTGGCCTATCCTTTTGTTTTGGTGTTTCTGCCTCTGGCATTCACTAATCTGATATGTCTTGCACACTTTTCTCTGCCTTTCTGAAAAACAGAAACTGATAATGAGTCATTGGGGACCGTTGTGCAAAAAATAAATGATCCAAATGGTGAATTAGCTTTACATCACACTAGGTTTTCCCCGATATGTGAGACCAGCTTTATTGCCTGCACGTAGCTGTTGTTCAGTAATCCACTGGACTTTGGCTGAATGTTTTGTTACTGTTTGCCAGACAGAGAACAATTTATTACTGGGGTGACCGAGGTCTTTCAAGGTAGACCTGGGCTTCTTAACACCAAGCCTAGTTGATTTGCTGTATGTTTAGTAGTTCACATCCAGGCAGTATACTATAAGCACTAAGGCTGTAAATTAGTTGGAATATATTCTTACAATAGCTTGGGTGGCAGGTTGAATGGTCGAGCTTGACAAATGTAGTCAAGACTACAGTTTATATAGAAATTGAGGAAATAGAATGAGATGATTTACTTGTATTTTTCACCATGCTGTTGAAAGGCTCCAAATTATGTCACTTTCTTAGTGTCACAATGTTTAAGTAATGTTACTTTTTTGATAATTTAAACATTGTATCTAAAAGCTGCATGATATGTAATGTGCATGCTATGTAATGTTATAATTCTTTATAAAAAGTAATGGGACACCAATTTGTACCCCATTTGAGGAAAGTGCCAGCTGCCAGGGGGCATTGGCAAGAAGGCTGCTGAGTGAACTGACTTGCTCAAGTAAGGATTTTGTTGTGATGTAGGTTTGTCCTGGCAGTGAGACTCGCTGAGCTGTGAAATAGTAAATGTCAGAGGGCTGAGGATGGCTTGAACTTCACACAGTCCCTTCCACAAGATCATCTTCCTCTGACTTTATTTGCACATATAATCTACTATTGGTGCATAATTCATTTAGCTTGCAACTAGTGCTAAACAATGATAAATCGCGATTAATCGCATCCAAAATAAAAGTCTTTGTTTATATAATATATGTGTGTGTGTGTGTGCTGTGTATATTTATTATGTATATAAAGACACACACATACAGTATATATTTTGAAAATATTTACATGTATTTGCATTAGGGCTGGACGATATGGCCAAAATTTATATCACGATATATTTCTTCATTTCGGTCGATACGATATAGTTCCGATATCGATATGAACACTATTAAAAAGCCTCATAAAAACGGCCAAGAACGGCCACAACAGATGTCTGTACCTACAAACTTATGAAAAATTAATTTGCCAACTCTATGAAACCTACTCCTATAAAACTATATAATATTTTAGGAAAAGAATAGCGCAAATAAATACATGTTCACCTTTTATTGGTATTTAGCCTTCATACAAACAAGAAATGTGAAATCACTGTCAAATAAATCTCAGACTCTCCTTATTAATGTTAATATTTTTTACTTCAAACTATAGGCTAACATACCAGTCTAAAGTTTTTGAACAGGAAGATTTTTAATGTTTTTTAAAGAATTCTCTTCTGCTCACCAAGCCTGCATTTATTTGATCCAAAAGAATACAGTTGCTGCAGAAAACAAAAAAATTAAGCAACAACAAAAACGTTGCTGGAGACGGGCTTATTATTAAAAATGCACACTGATTGTCTGCCAGCAGGAGGCACTTTGAGAGCGGCAGAAACAGTGGTTTCTCCAGTAACGGCTGTAATCAAAGCAGCTCCGCTCATGAACGCTACTTTATCAGATAAAAATGCCATCTAAACTATTCTGAAGACAGTCGGTTCCCTTCAGAGATACATTCATATAAAACACCTGCGCCGCGTTTTGATTTTGAAACGTGCAGTGCTCATGTTTATTCAACAAAGTCAAATGCCACAAATAAATCAGTGTATGGGAAACACTGGTAATGAATATCGAAATATCGGAAATGTGTTTAAAAGTCATATCACCGTTATTGAAAAAAATTATATCGCGATACATATTGATATTGAATTATTGTCCAGCCCTAATTTGCATGTATATATTTATATTCATATAATTTATATTATATATAAATATATTTAATATATATATAAAAACAAATCTTAAATATTTACATGCATGTGTGTGTATTTATATATGCATAATAAATATACACAGCACACATATATTATGTACACCAAAACGTTTATTTTGGATGCGATTAATCATGATTAATCATTGCCCAGCATTACTTGCAACACACAATGTGACTTTTTTTCATTTATAATCAAATGTGTAAATTTGGAAAGTAATTTCTTAAAAGTTGTGCATTCTAAACTCGAAGACGTGCTTTGACAAAGTAAAAGAATCATCTATTTCGAATCATGTCTAGAAACAGTTTCAAATGCTATGCTGCAGTTCACGCACTGACTGACCGAGACACAAACTAGCCGACATTGTGCACAGTACAGCACACTCATCCAACACTTTACTACATCTTTCATCACTGGCCTGCTCCGTTTGGAATGCTGCCATTATGCCTCTTTGCATATAAGATTTCAAGGAGGGAATGCTGTTCTACTTTATAATAGTGTCCTTGGAGTCTTGGCAGCAATAACGTATCAGCTGTAGGTTTTTCACCCCATGAAGGAGATGTCTGAGGGGATGGTTTCCGTTTGATACATTATTTGAGGCATGAGATACTAAACACTCACCTAGCCTTGAGAGTGGAGAGTATGGCCATAGAGCTCTATATGGCTGTTTTTCAGAGTGATTCAGAAAAGAGCATTGTGGATAGAGGCTGCTGTCAGCCCCAGTGGACTCACCGCCTGGGCGATAATTGCTTAAAGCTCAGTGTTAAAAGGTATTTGCAGATTGTTGCATTTGGGCTTTAGGCCAAGGGTTTTTAAAACATGAGAGAGCTAGAGAGACTGCTGACTAGAGACATTTTTAGTTTAGGGCCGTTTTCTCAGGCCCTGGTGTCCTCTATTATTCAAAGTGAGTGCTTTTTCCATGGTGGTGATTTAAATGTCTTGCCAGTTTTCATCCAAGTCCTTATTTTGAATGGCATTCGCCTTGATCCTGAATGCTTTACTGGATGTATCCGAAAGGTTGAAAAAATACATGCTGAAAGAGGGGGAAATATGTAATGAGCAAATGGACCTGTGAGAGGAAAAGCATGTTGTGATGACCTTGCTGTTCAGGGTTTATAGTTTTGCACCACTTTTGCTACAAAAGGCTATTATAAGAGCAATGCAATTGACAGATGGAAATTTTCACCTTTTATGTACCATAGCATTTTTGACACGGCATCAAATACAAATGTGCATTTTATTTTTTAAAGATTTCAAAATCCTCATGTTAAAATGTACTAAATGACAGATTAAATTAAAAGACAGCATGTTTTTTCAAATAATTAAATAGCTTTTTAAAGTGATTAATCAAGCGAGTGTAAATAAAGTACATTATATTACCCTAATGAATTGAATGGATTTCTGTTTTATAATTAATTGCTTTCCACAACATTTATTTTCTTGTTTGTTTGTTGCCATTTTGGCTTTTTAAGCTGTTTGAGGCTAATAAACCAATAAAAAAGTGTTTCAGTGCAGTTTGAATTTTCACATACTGTGTTAAGGTGTTTAGAGGGATATGTTATTTTGTTTTAAAATCTTAAAGGTCACACCAAATATGTGTGAATACACCTTAATGAGTCATGGTTTCTCTGTTTGCCATGCAAGGTTCAGCCACAGTTCATCTTGTGTTTTTGGATATATAAATATTATATTTGTACAAATTGTGAGGTGCCCATTTTAATAATTATCACTGAATCTCTGTACAGCAAATTAATGCATCAAATTAATTAAACAGTAAATAAATCTAAACTTGATTCAGGATCTCACATTAACAGTGACTGAGAATGCCACTGCCTGAGTGTAGAAGAGCAAGAGATTTACAGTCTTTGTTTAACAGTTCTGTCTAATAAATCATTTGACAGAACTGTTAAACAAAGCAATTAATTGGTATATGAAAAGGTACTGTAGCGTTTGCCTTGTCTATTTTTAGTAGTAGAAAGGTAAATGCTGTGGTACTTTTACGCTATAGTACTTGTGTGTGTGTGTGTGTGTGTGTGTGTGTGTGTGTGTGTGTCAGTGTCAGTCAGTTCTGTATCGACCTTCGGCCACCCTGCTCTCTAAGCTATTGGCATCAGCATCAGCCATTAAAAAAAGTCCATATCGGTCGACCACTACCCCTAAATTCAAGATACGGGGGCTCACCAGAAATATCTTCATAACAATAACAGTAAAACAGAAAAACATCTCCCAAATATTTAATTATTAACGATCTGTTACTTAACCTAAAGAAACCCCTAAAGAGGGTAAACATTATAAATGTGAAAGAAAGGTAAATGCTGTGGTACTTTTACGCTATAGTACTTGTGTGTGTGTGTGTGTGTGTGTGTGTGTGTGTGTCAGTGTCAGTCAGTTCTGTATCGACCTTCGGCCACCCTGCTCTCTAAGCTATTGGCATCAGCATCAGCCATTAAAAAAAGTCCATATCGGTCGACCACTACCCCTAAATTCAAGATACGGGGGCTCACCAGAAATATCTTCATAACAATAACAGTAAAACAGAAAAACATCTCCCAAATATTTAATTATTAACGATCTGTTACTTAACCTAAAGAAACCCCTAAAGAGGGTAAACATTATAAATGTGAAAGATTATTCACTTGAGCAGTTTTGGAGCTATGTAAAAACAAAAATACCAGTTCATCTAAACTCTCCATCGCTAATAGTGATGTATGGAGTATTTATGTAACTGAAACTACACTTCTGATATATATGTTTCTGTATTCACTTTATAGTGCTGTGCATACTGTAAGCGCCTTGGAGCATCCATAAAGTGCTGTGAGGAGAGCTGTGGGCGCTCCTTTCATTACCCCTGTGCAGCTGCTGCCGGAAGCTTCCAGGACATAAAGGCATACACCCTCCTCTGCCCGGATCACATCCAACAAGCCCTTGTCCGATGTGAGTTTCTCTGTTACACACATTTCCTTCTGCTGATTCTTTCATAAATTGGGGGAAATCGTGGCCTAATGGTTAGAGAGTCGGACTTGTAACCCAAAGTTGCGGGTTCGAGTCTCATACCGGCAGGGATTGTAGGTGGGGGGAGTGAATGTACAGTGCTCTCTTCAGCTTCAATACCATGACTGAGGTGCCCTTGAGCAAGGCACTGAACCCCCAACTGCTCCCCAGGCCGCAGCAAAAAATGGCTGCCCACTGCTCCGGGTGTGTGTTCACGGTGTGTGTGTGTTCACTGCTGTGCGCGCGCACTTTGGATGGGTTAAATGCAAAGCACTAATTCCGAGTATGGGTCACCATACTTGGCCATCACTATAAAATGTTGAGGCTTTTTTTTATATATATATATTAATTATTATTATAATTAAAACAGATAAAAATTAATGAAAAAAAAATCTTTTGAGACAATAACTGTAAGCAAACAGGTATGCTCATGACAGACCGATGGAGCACATCTGTTTACATCATAAATTACTACATATAAGATATTCCTTGTGTAGTTGGAGACACATTGTATATTAACTCTCCCTTACAGCGAAAGATGAGGTGAACTGTCTGGTGTGTGACAGTTCTGGAGACTTGCTCGATCAGCTCTTCTGCTGTACGTGTGGCCAGCATTACCATGGGGCCTGTTTGGACATCACTGTCACCCCACTGAAGAGGGCCGGCTGGCAGTGTCCTGAGTGCAAAGTGTGCCTCGCATGCAAGTGAGTATCCAGCTCACCTGGACATTAATTACTCAACACAGTTGAAAAGTTCAGATGTCTGGAGAATTTTGAACACTCATTGTTCTGAAAATTGCACACGTTCCCTTTGCATTTCTGTTTTTTGCTTTCCCTTTCCATTCTCTGTTTTACTATATTTAAATCCACACAAAAATAAATAAATAAATAATAATACGAATTGATTAATTTGTTGGTATTTGGCATACTGCCTAATATCACTAGACATTAAATAAATAAAGCCAGAGTTGTTTTGCTGTTTTTATAGAATGACAATTGAGTTTATATGTCAGCATGGATGAAGACAAGGCTATCCTTAGGGAATTTTGTTTTGAGCTGTTTTTTCATGCCAGCAGCCTCACTCTAACTATGACTGCTGGGAGATCCATCCGACTGATGTCAGACACCTTTAATGTGTGTTCAAGTCTTTCTATATGTATATTGTTTTGAGGAGATAGAATACAGTAGATCATAGAGCCTGGACCTCACGAGAAGCAGGGATTTTTACAGTAAAAATGCAGTGTAGTCAAAATGGATTGTATTTTATATAGCCTTCTCCAATATGATGTGCTGCTTTGTTGATGTGATTCTGGGTTTCAAATACAGTAGGGCTGGGAGAGGCAGATCAGTGGAGGAAAATGGCCATAATGGCCATGGCTCAGCTGAGCTGTAAATATCAGATGACGTTCTCATTTAATGTTGATTTGCATTGGCTGAAAATATAGGCCTGGAAATGGCTAAATCTCCTGAACGTCACATCACCTTCTCTCGGCTCTATAAATCTCACTGTTTCCCCTCTGATTTACCACTTAGACAGGTTTGGGCTCTGAAAAGCCAAAGTGAAAGTGTTATTGCTCATGGGGAGAAAGTAATGGGGTGTTTGTTTGCCTGGGTAAATGTAGAATGAGGTTGTATTTGTCTGAGGAATGGTGGCTGCAGTTAAAAGTGTCTTTTTCAGTGGCTGACACTGATATCTTGACAGCAGATTAGTCGTTTTGCTCGCCAATATAGATTTTTTAATTTTCTGCAAAAAAAACAAAACAAAAGTGTAATTTAAATCAACACTTCACTAAAATTCACTAAAAATATTGGAAAACAGAAAAGAGTATGCAGTGTATATGTAAAACCTTTTTTTAGATAAAAAAAATAGACACAATGGAGAAATAACACTTCTATTAATAAGCCGTTTAATCGATTAATCTGCTATCTGCAGATGGTAGTCTCTAAATGCATCATGACAGTTCATTTGATTAAGCCCACTTACAAACTGGAATACCTTAATAATGTTAGGAGATGGAAATGGAGGAGAACTGAGTAATTAATTGACTGCTTTTGACGTTTATCATTGATTTATTGTAGCGCATTTTGAAAGCCAATCAGCATGAAGCTCTCAATGTAAGAACAGAAGTACCATGTGGATTTAAGCAGTCATCTTGGTTCATAATTGGCATAAATATTTTTACACTGGAATCACTGCAAGATCAATGATTGAGTGTAGGTTTTTGTGCATAGACAACAACAATATAACATTTACAAAGTTTGCGGTGCACTATATATTAAATTCTTTTTTTTAAGGAGCACTTAATTGTCTAAGTCGTTTTGTTTGTAATCATGTCAATAAAACTAAACATTACGAAAAAGAAGAAACACAAAATAAAGGTTGAACTAGATTGGGCTAGATTGCAGCAAACAACAGGTAATTTTGTCAGTCAGTTGTACTGGCTGCAGTGAAATCCCATCAGTACATTCTCTTTCCACAGAACTGAACATTAAACATTAAATATCTTCTGATTGGCTAAACGTTTTCACTTTTGCCCTGCTTGTCACTGAAACTTACCTAACTGGCCACTAGCTGCAAGCAAACTGTCAACATGACATAGGTCAGAATGTCTTGTTATCTTGAAATTTGCAAACGCCCCTAACCCGGTATCTGGAATCTATCTTTAATCTACTCTCTTTTTCTCATCTGGTTTGTAGGAACCCAGGGAATGACAGCAAAATGCTGGTGTGTGACATGTGTGATAAAGGGTGTCATACCTTCTGCCTGCAGCCCGTCATGGACACAATACCCACCAACGGCTGGAGGTGCATGGTAAGCTTGTATTTGTGTATGGACTACAACCAGCATTGTGACAGTGATTCTGGCCTGCTGTGAGTAGAGGCACACAGTGCTTTCATTTCTGCTTTGAGCCTATAACTCGCAGCACACACACCTCTTTCTTTTTGGTATGTTTATGGACTGTGAGATTGAAGAGTGCATTGGTTTTCATCTCACCAGCATACTGTATATTCCCTCTTGATTGATGCTGGAGCTTGATTTAGTCACCATGAAGAATTCATTACCTCCAAAACACTTTAGTTTAATTATTCCTAATGTGCATGCTGTTCTAAAAGGTTTTTGATGCACTTCTCCTGTACCCTCACTTTGAAGACTGAGTTGCATGAGTGAGTTGTGGAATGGCTTTTCATCTCAACTATAGAAGACTATATCACATTTATTTTCTCCATAGGAATTTTAAACTGTGAACCAAACCAGTTAGCTCCCAGATGAATCAGAATACAAACCAAAAAATATTTGACTTAATTCAGTCAGAAGGTGCAGTACAAAATTCTTGACTACATTGATAGGTGTAAAAAAATTTTTTAAGTAAGTTGTTAGAGACCTGTAAGGTAACCGACTCATACATAACATACACTTCCTACAATTCAAAAACCCACTTAAGATGGTTAAATGCCTTATGAAGTGCGCTTTGCAGAACACTATCAGGTAATTGGAACATACCGTTTGTTTCTGTGTTGACTGATTTAAAAATCTGTGCACCTTACTTTCAGAAATAGCATGAAGTCAGCCAATCAAATTCAAGCTTGCAATTTATGAAAGCTCTTTTGTCGTCTCTGTGTGGTATGCAGCAGATGGTCCATGAACAGTCTTTGGGTATGCCACCTGAGGGTGAGACTACACGATACTTTCCTAAATTGAGTTTGTAGTCAGATTTTTAATAGACCCCTACATATCTTGCTTATGTGAAAGAATTGAAAATCTGAACGAAATTACACACAGATCCCTCTCATCACTTTGTGGAGGCAGCCAAGAAGCCCCACCTGTCATCCAGGACTCAGCACAGGAGTCTGTCCATCATCAGAGGCTTGACAGGGCTTGGATTTCCTGCTAAGGGTCTGTGGGTGGTTATTAGAGCTGATACTTCTGCAGTCTGAAATGCTGCACTTGATGAGCTTGAAGTGCCTTTTATTTGTGTATGCTTTTTAATTGACATGGAATTTTCCGGTGCTTTGCTCCTATTGAGAGCTGTTGCAGACTGATGAACATGATTTTGAGGATTTAAAGAGCCGTAATTATGCTGGAGCTCAATCCAAATTGATTTAAGAGAGCCCATGAAGTTTGTAGTTCGCAGTTGTTGTGAGGTTCAAGTGTCATTGTTCAGATGTGAATTGTTGTCGGATGACTTTTTTTTAATTTCAGTTCGTAGCATTCATAATACTTGAAGCTGTTGGTCTCCGCAGTACAGCAACAATACTGGCTTATATGAACATATAATGCAGTAGTAGAACTTGCGATACTGTTTACACCACTGTACTGTTGGCATGACTGCTTTCACAGTTTATTTAAATATGGATTAGTGTGATATCAATATTAATGTAATGTGCACTAATGAATTATACTTAAGAATGAAAGTAAATGGTCTTTTATTTCATGTTGACTTTAAAGGGATCCTATTATGCTTTTTCACTTTTTCAACTTTAGTTAGTCTGTAATGTTGCTGTTTGAGCCTAAAAAAGATCTGCAAAGTTACAAAGCTCAAAGTCCACTTCAAAAGGAGATATTTTATTTAACAGAAATCACTTTTCATAACCTACAACGAACGACTCGTTTGGACTACAATGCATATTTTCCGGGATTTGTGATATCACAAATATCGACGAATGGGACGAGACCTGGTTGAGCTGCACTAGAGAAGGCAACGAGTGTTATCACTATGTCGGAGACACGCTAGCTTTCCCAAGGCAGACGAGTGGTTACAATCATCTGGGTTTAAATTGCACTCAAATTGATTTGATTTTGACGCAATGTTTACACTGAAGCTCGCAGGTGACTGTGGTAAGGGGCATGGCCCGACCAGGCACCGAGTGCTGCCAGTTACAACACACACTGGCCCAGCTAACCAATCACAGCACATTTCGTATTTCAGAAGGCGGGCCTTCATTTGATACAGGAACTATTCGAGCCGTTCATGCCAGACTGGGGAGAGAGGTGTTGTGATAATGTAAAATAGGTGAAAAATAATGTTTTCGAACAACCTAGTATGAGAGCCTGTTCTAGTACACCCCCAAAACAAAATCAAGACTTTGAAAAAAGAGCATAATAGGACCCCTTTAAATGGGGTTGCGGTCATCATTTTGTTTAACCGTGCATTAGATGATGTTGCAGTGAATTGTGTGTTATGTTTTGCAGAACTGCCGAACGTGTGCTCAGTGTGGCGTGAGGCCTAACGGCCAGTGGTCATCTAATGGTGTAATGTGTGAAGGATGTCAACAGCAGCATGATTCAGCGCTGGTATGCCTCATCTGTGGGCAGAATCAGGACTCTGGCGGCCCTCTGGACAAACACTCATGCTGCACTTGTAAGAGGTAGGAAATTACCCTTTAAGCTATGACAATATCACACAGTGACCTATTGCTGTAATGAAACTGTTTCTGCATAATAACAATAGGTCACAGACTGCCATTAAAATTTTGTTTTATTAAGGAAATCATTGTCATCCTTCAGCACTTGAGTGTTTGGTTTCTAAATATTGGTTGAATTTGAATGGTTTCTTTGTGTTTGACACAAACCAGGTTTATCCTTGTTGCAAGTGAGCTTGTGTGTAAAGTAGTCGAAATTGTATTTTCCTTGCATCATTTTTTATTTTATCTTAGTTTGTTCATGGGTTTTAAAGGAGAGTCTGTCCATGTTGGTATGCAATTTGACCAGTTTCTACCACATGGCATTAACACAGCTACTGTAGTATTATTACTACAGAGCTTGTTGTAATTCCTGGCATGTAAACGCTGCTATATGGGAAAGAGATGTTTCACATCATAGCTGTTACTATGTTGTGTATTTTAGCATGTCTCTGGCTCAGGTGTTTTTATCCATTATTACTGTGAAGACTCGGTCAGTATTGATAAATAATAGTTGATTGCTTCTCTGCAGGCTTCAAAAACTGTGATTAACCAATAGAGAAATGATCTATCAAATTCAAAGAGGTCTGCGAAGAACACGGTAATTGAACCGGCAGCTTTAGAGAGTGGCTCAATGACGTCTTTGTGAACGAAAAGATGTTCATATAATTTGTATGGCAGATTGATTTGATTCTCTTGCTTTGAGAACTGACCATGGGTCAAACATGTAATTGTGAGCCGCATCATGTGTTATGAAGATATGATTTATCGGATCACGTTTGCACCTGTATTTTAGTGCTAAGCACTTGAGATCATAAGAGTCGACATCATTTTAATGAAACACACATACTGTATAAACGCATGTAAAATGAAATTTCGTTTTCTTAGGTTGTGTGTTTGGTATAGGATTCTTTCTTTCTTTCTTTCTTTCTTTCTTAACCAGTTATGTGATAAGAAAGTAATCAAGCAAAAGTCTATAAACTTTCTTTTTTTTATTATTATTATTATTATCATATATTTTAATTTACTTTACCAATTATAAGTCAGTTCTTCCATGGAATAAGTATATTTAAAAATGTAAATGTTTAAAAATCATGTATGGTGGAGGAGGGGGCAAATAGAGCACTGTTGAATTTGATATATACAGATGGATATAGAAAAATACAGATTAATAATAGTAGAAATTCTCTGATCAATCATGTCATGTCGATTGGGACCAAATGATGAATTATGCATTGTTGTGATTTAGGATTGCAAAATAGTTGTTCTGTTAAAGCAAAACAGTTCAAATAATTTGCATCTCATCTGATTGATGGTGTGAGTGGTCACTTTGAATATAGTTGTGATATTCAAGTTCTTAAAGCTGAACATCTCAAGTTCTCTCTGATATTTTGAAGTTGTTGAAGAAACCTCATCATATGAATGATATCTGAATGGTTGCTGGTTTGGTTGTGCCTAAACCCCCGGTTGTTTCAGGGAGGTTGAACATGTAATAAGTTAGCGGTGCCGTTCTGTGGCAAAAGTCTCAGAAAAGTATTCTGACCATATATGTGTGGAGATAAAGATTCCAGGCGACCTGCTGTTTCATTATTTAGAGTAGTTTACTAATTGTTGGTCCAGTGTTCTGTGTGTCAGATTCTTTGGTGCATGTTGCGATGCAGTTTGAGCAAAGATAATTGGAGTTCTGACAACCAAACACAAGCAATTTATTTTAATTCAGGAAAACAGTGAGTCAATGACAATAGTGTCCAAAATAAAGACAATTTTCAACAAAAGTTTAACTTTTTACTGACTCTAAAAAGTCATCAGTGTAAAAAGTAATAGTTACACCTTGAATGCATGTGAATGTACACATTGTTTGTTTCTAAGAAAATATTATTAAAGGATTATGCCAACCAAACTTCATAAATTTGATTTTTTTTTATGAATGTCATTGTTTTAATGAGGGCTTTCTTCAGAGGCATGTTCATGTCACTTGAAGTATGAAATGCCTTTATGTATTTTTTAATAAATTAATAGAAAAAAATTAACGTAATTTCATTGATCCTTATGGATGTTCAGCATAGTAAATAGTTAGTTTTTTCTTTGTGCAACTCAACACTTCCCTTTCCTATCCAGATGTCTTCATGGCTGTTGAAGAAGTAAATGAGGCTGAGGAGAAAGTGACGTTGGAGCCAGAGGCCAGTGCTAGTCCACTTCCTACATTGCCAGAAGAGTTCCTGTCATGTAAGTATTTATTTTAGTCAGATAATCATGTCCATGAAGTGTGCATATTTTTTTGTAATAATGTGTTTTTTTAGCCACAGACACCTTAGTTTTTTTTTTTTTTTTTTCTCATATGCTTAAACCACCCAGGAGATAATTTGATTTTTTTTTATGAATGTCATTGTTTTAATGAGGGCTTTCTTCAGAGGCATGTTCATGTCACTTGAAGTATGAAATGCCTTTATGTATTTTTTAATAAATTAATAGAAAAAAATTAACGTAATTTCATTGATCCTTATGGATGTTCAGCATAGTAAATAGTTAGTTTTTTCTTTGTGCAACTCAACACTTCCCTTTCCTATCCAGATGTCTTCATGGCTGTTGAAGAAGTTAATGAGGCTGAGGAGAAAGTGACGTTGGAGCCAGAGGCCAGTGCTAGTCCACTTCTTACATTGCCAGAAGAGTTCCTGTCATGTAAGTATTTCTTTTAGTCAGATAATCATGTCCATGAAGTGTGCATAATTTTTTGTAATAATGTGTTTTTTTAGCCACAGACCCCTTAGTTTTTTTTTTTTTTTTTGCACAGCTGCTGAACCTGCCCAGGAGATCCAGGTTACTGTCACTCTGACAGAGGGTTCCGAGCCTCCTCCGTGCACATCCACTATAGTGGGTGTACCCTCCCTCTCCTTTCAGGCCTCTTCCAATACTGAAGACCATAACCAGGAGCACAGTCTCATTGGTGCTTTGGAAATGGGGAAGGAAACGGAGGATAAGCTGCCTGATACTACAGAGGATGAACCTGAAGCAGACGTTTCAAAAGCTCTTCCTGCTTTGCCAACCAAAGAAACTTCCCCCAAACACTCTCGAGCACAAGAGGAAGAACCCATGGATGTCTGTCCCTCAGACCCATCCAGTATGAAGGATAAAAGTATGACAGATGTCCCAGAATCCCAGAGTGTTGTTGAGGAAATTGAGCAGGGACAGAATCAAGACAAACAAGAGCACGAAGAGGAGAAGGTGGCAGATCCTGAAGTCACTTGTATTTTACCTGAGCCTGATAGTGTCCCACTGGTTGCAGAGTGCAGTCCTACCGTGGAAATGGAAACTACACCTGTCAGTGACCACAGTTTCTCCAGTTTCAGCTCTCCCATTGAGGATAAAAGCCTCGTCTTGAAGCATTCCCCAGGACTGTCCCCTGATGGATTAACCAAGTTGACCCAGTCCCCATTTTCCACTGAAGCCTCACCGAGGGAGACGTCTCAAAGCCAGACGCCTACCCATGGCCTGAATCTGGCTGGATACAGCCCCAGTGTTTCCAACACCACCTTCTTCCCCATTACGCCCAAGATAGGTATGGGAAAGCCAGCCATCTCGAAGAGGAAGTTCTCTCCAGGAAGGCCAAGGGTAAAGCAGGTAAAACTCCTGTTTTTTTTGGCCTTTCTTTCTTGCTGCTTGGCTCCTGGTTTTCCTCTGTCTCTTTAGGACACCGATTCTGTCTGTGATCCACAGTTTTCAGCCACACAGTAATTACTCTTTTGCTCTCCATGTTTCTTCGTCACATTGATTAGTGCCAGAGCGTAGCATGTATTAATTAACATGGAAAGGCTCTTACTGTGCTCTCTCTGGCTCAGTCTCTGCTTCGCTCACTCATTCTTTTTCCCGCTCTCTCTCCTGCCTCCCAATTCCCCCACTGCCCTTCTCAAATACATCACTCACAGTATTCCGGGAGAGAGGGGGCTGAGAGTTGGCTCCAGAGCCAGGGGTTTATGCTAGTGGAACATAAAGGAGTCTTTTTGGAGGTGTGTAATTCGGATAACTGCTCACTGAGCTGGAAAGCACAGCACAAACCCATTTCCCCTTTGAGCTCTGGAGCAGGGAGGATGCTGAGAACTCAATTTTAGGGCCTTCTAACTTGTCATAAATCTAAATTAATCCTGGCATTGCGGTGTCTTTGTGCCCAGTAGAGTAAACTTCAAAGTACAATTAATCTAAGCATTCTTCGAAACAAAGATTAGAGTGTGTTCGTTCCCGTCTCTGGTGCAAACCTTGGCATTTCACTTTGGGAATGCTTTCAGTATCATTGATCTGATTGGCAGATCATACGCAGCTCCCAGTGGGGCTTAGGCCCGATATATAGTCTATACGAGTACGCAAATGCAGGTGTGAATGCTGGCAATGCCAAGCATGAGAGTTAAGTTCACACAGGAATGAGAATCCTGTCATCAGTTACTTACCTCATCCAAATTCTTAAGACACACATAAAATATTTTAATGAAAATGTTATTTTAAATGAAGAAAGATTTCTGTCCCTCTATTTGAAAATCCACGTAACCACAACTTTGATGTTTCAAAGTGTTCATAAAGACAGAATTTCAGTGGTTTACTCCAAGTTTTTCTATCTCTTTATTTGATGAGCAGATTCATTTTAGGCAGTTTGACACACATACATAGACCATGTCAAATATGGTAAACTGAAGATCAATCGTGCTTGCTTGACGGTTGAGAACCAATGAGGTTTTTTTTTTTTTCTCGCAGCTTCATTTGTTGTGGCTGAAACTAGCATGTTTGAGGGATGCGCCGATTGATCGGCTACCGATCATTATCGGCCGATAATCACGTTGGGATGATTGATCAGCGGTCTCTAAAAGGCCGATCTCAAAAAAAATTATCTCAAGCTGATGACGCTGCCGTGAGAGGTTTGGCACGACATGCAGCGGCACTGTATCAGTCTCTGTCCAGCGTGGGTGAAATAATTATAATGCTGAAGGTGAGGTACTTACCTTCATATTTCTTCATTAAATAACTTACAAAGTAATTTGAAAACCTTGTGTGAGACGTAATTTCACAAACAGCGTGAGTGAATCACCGCGTGTGCTCTCTCTTTCTCTCTCAAAATACGCAAATGGCTTCAAATCACCACACATTGCATCTGTCTATAAGCGAGCTGCACAGTTGACACAGGAATTGTCACTTGCACAATCGAGGCAGTGTCACATCGTCAAAGTTTATACAAGTAAAGTAAAGTTTTTGCATTACTTTTTAATTCTTGCCAGTGTTTAACCATTCAGCGCTCGCACGCTCTCCTGTAGACTGTGCGCTCATGCACACTTGCAGCGCACACACATAATGCCAGGTTCACATTACTCTGTTTGCAGTGTGTGGTATGTGGTGCGTATTTTTTCCGCGCTCATGTTAACGGATTAAAGAATTCACACTGCACACGGCAGTGCGTTCAGGAGCGGTGCGTCTGCAGCAGTGCAGAGATCGTTTCCGCACTGAGTCTATTTTTGCTGTGATACAGCGCTGAATTAAAGTGACATCACATTGTTTGCAGTACATATGAAAACGAAAATGTAGCAATCGCACCATAAATGCATATAATTAAAGTATACTGTCTTTCACAGTCAACACATATGGCTTGTTGGCTAGTTTTAAAGGAAAAGAGCACTTTTAGACAGTGCTTAATTTGTAAATTGCGAGGTCCTGGAACAAAATGGGGTGACTGATCCGGCATGATTAGAGGAGGGAGAGGTAACGGAGCATTCGCGCAATGAAGGAACAGCTTACGTGATTAACAGCGTGCATCTTCTTACGGTCATGAAAAAAATTTAAAAGTGATGAATTTTTAAAACAGCCATTTCCAGGCCTGGAAAAGTTTTGGATAAGTCATGGATTTTTTCCCTTAAATCTCTCAGGGTTCCCACGCTTCTTGAAAGTACTTGAAAGTGCTTGAATTTCAGACATATGGATTCAAGGCCTGGAAAGTACTTGAAAACAAACATAGGTCCTTGAAAGTGCTTGAATTAAATTTGAAATAAATTTTGTTTATGGTGCTATTTAAAAAATTGTCCTATATATTCTGTCAAAGACAGAACAAGCGGCACTAATGATTGGGGGTGAAGATGGGGGAGCGCGGAAAAAAAAAACTTGTTTGTTTATGCGCGGACAGTTCCCTCTCAAGCTTTCATGAGACATCACGGAGATATTTCTCCGTTATGGGAACTCCTTCCCTTCCAACCTTTCCTGAAGTCCTATTGGCTCCCGCCAGTCCAAATGACTGGCCAATTGACGCGAAGTATGCAAACCGCATGCAAATACTGACGAGCTCAAGCGGCAGTATAAAATGCGGTGCACGCGACAATTACGTCAGAATCTTCTACTTGACCTGTTGAATTCACTATGGCAACAATCTGCAAGATCTGCGCGGGACCGATAGAGCCGCCGGATCAG